ACATACCAACATTAATATCAGTGGGGGAAAACAAGACTTTAAGGCAAATTCTATATTTATAGTCATTTACGTATTGATAAAAGCTCAGTTCACCAGAAGATATAAATTCAAAACTTGTATGCACCTGAAACATATCTTCAAATACATGTAAAGAAAAAGTGAACAAATCATAAAGGCTTGTTAAAATTTGACAGACATGTAGGGAGCCTGCCCATGACGCTGCCGTGACCGATATAGCTTGAACCCAATTCTACACAACAGGGATGTAAGTCCCAGAAACGTCTACATAACTGGATCACACATTACGCCATAAAGAAAGCTCACCATCTATCAAAAATTGGAATCCTATAGGCTGTACTCTCACCACAAAGCAATTAAGTTGAAATCAATAAATAAAAGATGACTTAAAAAAAAACCCTCGTCTTTATTGAAAGTTAAAGAAGCCCAAAAACCAAAAAAGAAAAAGGGGGGGAACATACCAGTTTCTCCATTAAATATCTTTATAATGTCATGAAATATCTTTATAATGTCAATTCTTCCCAAATCGAGGTACAAATGCAGTACAATTCCAATCGAAATCCTGACAGAGATTTAACATGCTGTTTAAAATTTATATGAAAGAGCAAAGGCCAAGAATCATCAAGATACCTATGGAAAGAACAGTTGGGGGAGCTGCCCTAACAGATGCAGGGACTGGCTGTAGAGCCATATACTGCTGGAGACAGGGTTTGGGCGCCGGGAGCAACCCTGGGCCAGTGTGCCGCTCAGAGAGCCTGGGGTCTGTCCACGCCGGCCGGGGGGCTGCCGGTGCAGATGGTAGGGGCGAGGACAGGTGGCCGTGGTCATCCATGTGGGAACAATGACCCAAACACTTCTTGTGTCAAGAATTTCAACACAAGAGAGGAAAACAGCACTTTTAGAAGAAATAGAGAAGATCTTTCTGTTCTCAAGTCAGGGAAAGGTTTTGTAAACAAAATATGAGCACAAACCATGAAGAAAATATAAATGAATTTGACTACATTAAAATTTAAAAATTATCTTTCTCTAAAGACCCCAAAGGAGAGTGGGGAAAAGATCTTATCAGCACATACAATTGAAACAGGATTAATATCTGAAGTATAAAAGGAGTTTTTGTGAGTGAGCAAAAGTCAACCCAATAGAAAAACGGGCAAAGACACAAGCATTTCACAGGAGAGGGAACATGAACGCGGCCTGAGCCCACATGGTGGTCTGTTCTTGACAGTGAGTGGCAGGTGCACGGCGCGCCTGTCTTGTGATAACTCGGTGAGTTTGTCTGCCTTTGTCTGCATTTAGGATTTGTCTGTTTTTCTATTCTAACCCAACATTCAGTGGAAAAGGCAAGGGACAGAGAGCCGTCCATCTCAGGACACCTGCCCGCGCCCTCCCTTTCCTTCCACCCTGCCTCCCTCCCTCCCAGTGATTTGGAGGCACTTTTGAGTCCTGGGAGTCTGATTTTTTAATGGCAAAAATGTCTCAAAAAGTAGGAATCCCCTTAGCACTTTTTTTGCTCCTTCCTTAAAAAATGTAGAAATTACGTCCCAAGGAGATGAAGTGCTGGACTAATTAAGGACAGAACCAAGACGAGAGGGAGGCCAGCTGACAGCATCCGTCCGCCTCTCTGCCCGTCTGCTTGCTGGACCACCGTGTGCCCCGCCAGTGTCCGCCGGACATCACTTTACCTTCTTGGTGCATGGGTGAAGGGACACTCACCACTGGGGGGGCCGTTTCTTCATGAAAAGCACCCAGTGCCTGGCAGTAGGAGAGCTTAGGTCCAGGACTGCTGATGCTCCAGCCTCGGGGAGCATTCGTCCACCTGCGCCTGGAGCACGTGTGCTCGTGGGCTCTGTGCCAACCCGCCGGATGCACTGGATCTGCTTACCTGCCAGGGAGGCACCTGCCGATGGAGACACCAGGGGAGCACCGGGGTAACGGAGCTGCGGACGGGTGGGTGGGGAAGCCCCAGGTTGTTCTCGATGGTGATGCTCCCCAGCTGAGGTGGACAGCACTTGGTGGCCGGCTGCTTGCTCTCCTGATTCCCCCACCCTACAGATCAGGACAGAGGCCTGCGGAGGCCAGACGAGCCCTCCTCCACCCAGCTGGTCGGTGCTGGAGCTAACCCAGGCCAGTCCTGCCGCCAGGGCCCCGCTCTCCCCTGCTGTGCCCTGCGGTCCTGACCAACACACAGCTGTGCACTCTTGGGGCCTCGAGACGGACAGAAGAGGACTCTGCCCACGGGAGAAGGACAAGCACCTGACGGGAGAGGTGGCAGGACAGGAGCCCCGAGCAGCCAGGCCAGCAGACCTCGAGGCCCCAGAGTCACCCCCAGGCTCCCTGCTGGCCCATCCCCCGGGCAGAAGGCTGGAGCCCTCAGGGGGCTGGTCACGTCCCCATGTGAGCTCTGCGTCTCATGGAAACCCGAGTGACGGTCAGAGCACATGCCCGGCCCCCCACCGCCTGGCAGCCCTGAGCCTGACTCGCACACCCTCTGTGCTTCAGCTTCCCGTGTGCTGTCTCCAGAAGTGGGGTCTTCTCCTCCGTCCTAGGAACTCGTAGTTACCACCTTGTAACCTTAGCCCAGTTCCAGCTCCACCTGAAGGTGGGTTCAGGCACACCCCTGCCAGGTGACCTCTGGGACTCGGGCCTGCTGTGCACAGGGCCCATGGCCCCTGCGGCCCCTGGTCCCATCAAGCCGGACCCAGGTTCCCGGGACCAGGTCTGTGCGGCCCAGCTCCCAGGCAGCATCTCAGCCACGGACAGGCTCACCCTCCCCTCATCCCTCGTGCCCCAGGACGTCACTGGGTACTTGCCATCTCTCCCACTTGTCCCTGAAAGAGGAGCCTTCACTGGGCTGCCCAAGCCACGCAGCAGGGTCTCTGACCTCCAGGCCCCTTCCCTGCAGGGTCATCTCTCCTGAGGCACAGCGGGTGCAGGCCGCATGTCGCCTCTTGTCCCTGTCACTTCAGCGAGTGTCCCCATGATGGTGTTTCCTGGGTGTGCTCTTCTGGCAGCTTCCTCGGGGGCCTCCGACGAGTGGCTGCTCAGGTCACACAGCTCAGTGGTGTTAGGTCATGGAGCAGACATGACAGGTGCAGGGTCAGCCCTCAGCCCCAGGTGCACCCTTGACCCGCACCACTTCATCGGGGACTGTCATGGCTGGACATGACTCCAGGTCACCACACCCCCTAACCTGTGCTTCTCAGGACCCCGGGGCATGACAGATGCACCCAGAGTGGGCTCACCGAGTCAATGTGTCCAGTGCTCCCTGGGCAGGCCCCCCCCCAGAGAGCCACAGGTCAGGGAGCACCCCAGAACACAGGGAGAAGCCTACGTTTAGAGGCACTTGCCCTCTCTAGGAAGAGAGGGGGAGAATCAGGGACTCTGAGAGCTGTGTCACAGGGGCCGGCCAGGAGAGACCAGGCGTGGTCACTTCTGCTGCAGCAGCGGCCCGCCTCACATCCCGGGGCTCACACGGCGGAGGCTCCACCTCGAAGGCATGACCAGGAGGCCACAGGTGGTCGTGGCTTGGCCCCCAGCTGCAGCTGGGGTCCACACACCTCGTGCTGTGGGAGCTACAAGAGCTGGACAAAGCGCCAACGCACCGCGCACCCCTGCACCCGCAGCTGCGCCCACAGGCACGGCACACAGGGCAGCCATGGTCCTCCTCAAGTTGGAAGGGGTTTGGTGTTTGTCTTTGTGTGGGGCTAAGTTGCTGAAGGCCCACAGCGACCCACTCCTCTCTTGCTTTGAGGTACATCTGTGAAGTTTCCTGAATGTCGGGTGTTTGTGCCTCGGGCACGATCACCACCTCCCCGACACACTTGTGTTCAATGGGGACACCAGCTCCTCCCTGTGTGCCCCGCCCGCTGACCCCTGGGGGCTCCGGGGAGGCCCTGTCCTCGCCTCCAGACAGGAGTCCAGGGCCAGCCCCGGAGCAGCGCTGGGACACGTTCGGGATGGGCCTGCTGTCAGGAGGAGGTTAGGAGCTGAGTGCATTTCCCAGAGTGTGCGGTGTAGGCCCCGCGGGTGAGCTAGGCCTGACGGCATCCCTCTGAGTGGCCAGCAGTTAGCCTTCAGTTCCCAAAACATGGCCAGGACTCACCACATTTACCTTTACTTTCTGCTCTTTGGGGTTTCTACTTAAGAAATGAGGCCCAGATGGGACGCCCTGGGTGGCTCAGTCGGTTGAGTGTCTGACTCTTGATCTCAGCTCAGGTCATGATCTCAGGGTCATGAGTTCAAGCCCCGCATCAGGCTTGGGCTGGGCGTGGAGCCTAGCCCAAGTTAAAAAAATAAAGAAAAAAGAAATGAGGTCCAGATAAAAACAACTGAAGAAAGCCCAGTAGGTGGGGGAAAAGGGAACAGAGAGCGGCCTGGTCACAGTCGTGAGACTCTAACAGCCCTCACGGCCTCTTGGAGGCGCTCACCCGCCCCCTACAGAACCTTCCAGCACTCCATTCTGTGATCCTGGGAGTCCCGGAAGAGCAGCTTGGGGAGGCCCTGCAGGGGAGGCAGGGCTGGCCCAGGGCAAGGTCCAGGCCTAGCTGGGGCTGGGGCGAGGCCAGGCTTGCAGAAGGGGCATGAGTGACAAGGTGCGTGCATTCTGTGAGGACAGCATGAGCTGACCTTGAAGCCCCTGGGGGCCCAGCAGGTCCTGTTCTGCGGCTCCCAGACCCTCCCCACAGAGCCGAGGGGCCCGGTGGCCTCCGCTGGCCTCCCTCGCCTGCATGCGGTCTGGGGGTCGCCGCCCGCCAAGCCTGTGTGAGCTGCCAGGGAGCCGAGGAGAGGAAAGGGACTGGGTGCACCCGCCCAGCGGCCCATTGGTTTCCCAGGCCAAGTCCTTGCGTTCTGCCGCGTCTGCCATGTGTCCGCATGGCCCCCCTGTATCTGTTTGTACAGCGTTCTGTTACTGCCTTTTTAACTTGGTGTGAATTGTGCTCGATGACAATGATCTTAGCTCTCATGTGTCCCTCCTACCCCAGCAGTTGACCAAGCTCCACCAGCTGGCCATGCAGCAAACCCCCTTTCCTCCCCTCGGACAGACCAACCCCGCTTTCCCCGGTACGTACCCAGCTGCCCTTTCTGACCTCCTCTCTTCTCACCTGGGGACTCTCTTTCGGAACTGTCATTATTCAGGGTGGCGAGCAGCACAGGCACCGCTCTAGTTGTGGGTGCCAAGGACGCAGTGCAGACACGCAGCAGTGTGCACGTTGCAGAGGGCCGGGCGGGGAGGTCTGTGTGTGTGTCTGCTGCGGTAGGCTGCTCACCTCACAATGGCCTTCTTGCGAAGCGACGTCTGTCCCCTCGAGGGTCCACGCCTGCTCTCCGCTGCGCACAGGCATCCTGGGGGCCCCCTCCGGCTGAATACATCCATTTGGCCGGCCCTGAAGCCTGTTCTCTCCAGGAGCAAGAGCTCAGACAAGCAGACGGGATGCCCTCCTGTAGGAGGCCCATGCACAGCCCAGGAGTGACACCTGCCCAGGACGGCACCCAGCCCTGCCCCAGGGAGAACTGAGATGAGCCAACCCCCAGCCCAGGGCACGGTCACTATCGGCACCCCACTTGGCACAAGGGTGGGGGTGGGCCTTCGCTCTGCTGCGTCTCGCCAGCCAGGCGTTCCTTCCTCCCTGATACGGGCAGGGCGTCGCCTCGGCAGCCGTGCAGGTGACCACACACTGGACGCGCTGGTCTGCTGTGCATGCGCCAGTCAGATTTTGAGCTTCCCTAGTTGAAGTGACCTTGCTTATCTCCTTGAGGGCAAAACATTAAATCTGTTTCTTCTTTGCTCTCCAGGAGAAAAGCTGCCTTTACACTCCTCCGAAGAAGCTCAAAATCTGATGGGCCAGTCGTCAGGTAAAACAAAAGCACACTAAATGGAGAGAGGGCAGGCCCAGAAGGCTGTGCATCCGCCCCTGCCCGGGCTCCGGGTCACCGACCTGGCGGGAGGAGGGGCAGGGAGGCCTGATCGCATCTGCCGTGGGGACTGCCAGCGCCTCAGTGCTGTCAGGGGACAGAGCCCATGTGGCTGGCCCGTGGGTCAGCCCCGGGCGCTGCTGGGAGGTGGTGGCCGCTCACAGGCTCGGGAGGTGCTCAGAGCGCAGCCCCCCGTCATCGAAGGCCCCAGAGGTGATGGGCCAGCGCCTGTGTTGTAGGCAGCAAAGTGTGGGGCGGGGGGCGGGGGGGGCCTGCAGTGACGAGTTTACCGTGACGAGTGCTTTGTGGAAATGCGTTTCGTAGGAGACAGAGCACAGGGTCAAGGAGCAGAGTGCCCTGGGCCAGATTAGTCTGCACCCATCTGGTTGCATTAATATGCCCCTGGGCTGTCACAGGGCAGGCTCGGGTCTACAGATCCCATTCCTCTGGGGGTTTGGGGAGTGACGCCACCTGAGAGCTGGTGGCTGGGCAGAGCCGGTTCCCCATGAGGGGGCACCACCTGCTCTCCCATCCCACTCGGGGTCAGAGCAGAAGAGCAGGCGTCCAGCTGAAGGGGAATGCAGGAGGGCAGTGCTTCTGGCACTGGCTGTCACCCCATTGGTGGGTTCTGGGCCCCAGAGCCTAGCTGTGCTCCCTGGGCCGAGACGTGGGCTCTGATGCTCCATGCGCCCCAGATGGGTCCCGTCGCAGTGCAGCCCTTAACGCAGTGAATGCAGAGTTTAATGAACAAAAATTAGAGAAAAACGTATAGGACATATTTGATTATGGAAATGGGTATCAGCCCTTATAAAGTTATTTACCTAGGTAACAACACACATGTGCCTCTAAATCCGCTGCAGTTTATAAGTGATTTCATGCAATTACCCGGCGATGGTCTCCCAGAGACAGCTGGGGACCCGAGGGCCTGGCTTGCCCGGGACACACAGCGCCCACCTGGCCAGCCACCCACCGACCCTGCCTTGGCTTCCCCAGCACCACCTGTGGGCCTCAAGGATGTGGGACATGTGTGCGCATGGCCTTTTTAAGGCATCCTTGTGATGACCTCCCACCCCGAGGCCCCATGAGACCCAGAGGGAGAGCGTCCACACACACGCGTGTCCCACGCACACGCACGCGTGTCCCATGCACACGCGTGGTGACGGGGGCGATGTCACCGATGCTCCCAAAGCAGGTCGGGCTCGCGTGGCGAAGCTTGATTCCCGTCCCGGTGTGCACGGCATCAGCATCTCATGAGGGACACTCACCACCGGGGGCGTGTGGCCCTCAGATACAGGAATGCCAGTTGTAAACAGGTGTGTCTCCGGACCAGCAGTTTATGTCAGTGCCCTCTTGAAAAGAAGTCTGATACTTTCCTTCCTTGGATCAGAATCCATCAAGGTGAACGGATATGACTCAGCTTTATGTCCATCCCAAAGCAGGCCGTGCAGGAGTTCCTGGCCAGGGCTCACAAAGGCCTGAGGAAATCTCGTAGATGACATTTTGCATGTCACTATTTATGGAATGTACGTAGACGGTTGAACAACCAGATAACTGTATTGAAAAGACCTCTCTGAAAAGAAGATAAAGCACAGAAACTCTAGATTTAGCTGTGCAAAAGGAAATGACAGTTCGGGATGAATTGGTTCATTCGGCACTTGCCAACTGACCCGCCAGCACGGCGGGCTCTGGGGGGTCTCTCGTGGTGGAGACTGATGACCGCAGTGTGTCTGGTGTTGGGGACATGAGTGCCGTGGAGGAGGAAGCAGGAAGAGGGAGGGGTGGGGGCGGGCGGGGAGGCCGATGGCGGAACGTGGGGAGGCAGGGTGGCTCGGCACAGTCTTGAAGGCATGTGACTTGCGTTTCCTTAGGCCTCTCTGGGCCTGTGGAGAGTAGACCGAGGGGCAAGGGCAGAGGCAGGAACCAGGAGAGGGGAGAGAGGGCTCAGGCTCCGGAATATTCTGACGGTATGAGCCGGGCTGCGATGGTGGTTCTGCAGATGGAGGCTCCAGGCACGCGTGGGGCCTGCCCGGAGGATTGGGGGCGTCCGCTGTGGATGGACTTGGTGCTCTAGATGCCTCCGGAGGCAGAGACAGAAGTGCTGAGGGCAGGGAACCCGCTGGTCCTATCGAAGCCCACCGCATGTTCTGTTGTCCCTGTTTTGGGAGCAAGAGTAGATCTCGTCCTGTGAAAAGCTGTGCGAGAAGTTGTCTCTGATTTGCTAGGGCCCCGAGCTGAGATTGTAAAGATAAAAACTGGGGGCCTGGTGATCAGTTAGGCCTGTGTCTGCACTTTGAGCACAGAAGCACACGGTCTCCACTGGGCCTCAAAGCTTACTGGTTGACCTTTGATCCGCTGTCGGGGTGGGAGAGCTGCCTGTGTGGCTGGGCGACGGAGCTGGGCCGCGGGTCTGGCGGTGCGGGGCCCGTGGCGCTGCTGGAGCAGAGGGGGAGAAGGGGCAGCCGGCCTGGGGTGCACAGGGGGGCCCAGGACACACACTTGGCCGCTCAGCATGGGTCCCCTAGAGGTCTGTGAAGGGCATCCCCACATCGCACGGCACAGGAGTGAAATCACCAATGTGCCCAAGATGAAAACATGGAACGTCACTGTGCGGAGGTTCTTTGTCCTTGTTTTGAGAGAAGCTGGGACTCCAGACATTGGTTGCAGTTTGGGACTGAGAGCTCACAGGGCCTGGGCTCCCAGGGCATGCGTGCCCCACCTGTGGGGTCCATGGGGGCGGGTGCCGGGTGTGATGTGAGCAGCCTACTGCTAGCCTAACCTTGTCCCCTTGGTGTGCCCAGGTCTGGACGCCAGCCCCCCGGCCAGCACTCATGAGCTCACCATTCCCAATGATGTGAGTATGCCTGAGCCCTCAGCCAGCCCTGACTTGCCTGGGACCGCTCCCCGCCCTTCCCACAGCTGGGTATAGGGGCCACAAAAGGCACGTGATGTCACGCTCCCGAGAGACTAGGCAGGAAAGGAGCCAAGGGGACTTCAGGGTTGACCCTTGAAGAGCAGGTGGGCCAGGAACGCTCGGAGGGTCTGCTGCAGCAGGATGCCCGTATCTGGTGCCCACAGCCTGTGCCTGCCCAGGGCTCAGCTGACAAAGTGGCCTTACGAGCCACCCTCCACATGCTCAGCCCTACCTGTCCTGGATTATCCTAAGGACGCTGACTCCAGTCGGAAACCAAGACACCAGGGCGGGTGTGGGCCACGTGTCCTTGAGGGGCAGTGGCTCAGGGTCGCACAGGAAGGCAGCTGCTTGGGGGACATGGCCTTCCCAGCTCACGTATCAGTTGGCCTTTTCTGCCCTAGAACTGAGGCCTTCCAGACTCTTCACTGCTTTGCCCCTGGGACCAGCCAGGCACAAAGTCCTAAGAGAAGCACAGAGTTGTGTGGCTTCAGGGGGATGGCCCACCCCGAGTATGGAGAGGGATGAGCTGCAGGGGGCGGGAGAATAGTGAGGCGGAGGACCAGAGGAAGGGACCCCCCCCCCCACGACCGCACTCCCCGAGGAAACACCGCCTTCATCAGGGCCCTGGTGGCCGGCTGCAGGTGACGCGCTCCTGCGTCTCAAGGGGAGAGTGTTTCTGCTCTCGGGAGCTCCCAACACTGTCTTCGCACGTGATGATCCTTGAGCAGCTTGGCTGCAGGCAGCCCCCCGAATCTCCACCCACGTGCTAAATGCAGGGGCCACGCTGCACTCGTGGTGCTTCTCTGAGCCTTTACCGAGACCACTCACCAATGACAGGGGTCTTCTTCTCGTCCAAGCCTGCCTTCCAAAAGTGAGATGAGCCCAGAAAACAAGAGGAAGAGGGTGAGGCTCGTTCAGAGAGCGAGCAGTGTGCCTGCTTCGTGGGGGCCCCTGGAGCACACGGGCGCCACCTCGCATGCAGCGCCACACTGCCCGCCCCCTCCCGGGGAGTCCCTCAGAAGGAGGCTGCTTTCTTGGCTCCGAGGGGGCCCTTCCTGGGAGGAGGATTTGGTGACAGCCCTGCTAGGAGGCTTTCTCATGCTCACCCCGGCCCCCCAGGGGAGGCGTGCGTGCATCAGAGCCCTTGTTCAGATGCGCATCTCACATGATGCCCATCCGTGTCCCTGGTCAAAGTTAGGTTGTGTGGAGGGGAGTCTGCCCACACCCACACGTCGCCACAGCAGGACTTTCTGGATGGCGGGCGTGTGTGGTAACTGAAACCATGTGCACGTTCCACAGCACAGCCACCTGCTGGCGTGGTGATGGGGACCCAGGTCAGGGCCAGCAGTCGTGTGTGGAGCTGCCTCTGCTGGCGTTCTGGGACTCTCCTGGCCTTGGGTTCCATGGCTGATGTCGCCGTCGGGCCCTCACTGTCCCTGTGCCTGTGGTCACCCCACACTTGGGCCCCATCCCTGGTCCCAACCCCAGAATCACCCAGAGATCTAAGGGCTCACACAGGCGGCGCCAGGATGAGAGAAAGGTATGTTCCCACAGAGCCCTGGGGTGCAGCTCTGAACCCAGTGCGGAGGGGCCACGGTACTTGAAAGTGCCTATGACTTCCCTTCGGGCTCCCTGTGGAAGCCCACCGGGTGAGAGGAGAGAGGTGGGCACGGCTGCATGTGTGTGGGGTCAGGAGGCCCCCGGAGCCCAGCTCTATGGGCCTGCATGGCCCACGGTTGCAGAGCAGGGCTGAGAAGCCCGGCCCCTGCCAGGTCCGAGGGGCCTTTCCAGCTGCCGAGGACACTGCTGCCCGCAGGAGAGCCCTGGGCTCAGCCCGGCGTCTGCATCACCAGCACCCGCACCCCTCCGCTCTCTCTGGAAGAGGGACGTGTTCCACATAAGTGAGGAGTGAGGGGCGGCTTCAGGAGCCCCCAGGCCGGCTGGGGGGCAGTGCAGGGCCCCGCAGGGGTGAGGTCCCAGGGAAGAAGAGAGGGCTGGGTGCAAGGACATCTTCAGGAAGCTGTTTGAGAGAGCGTGGGGACTGCATGCCAGAGAGACATCTCTTCAGATAGGGTTATGGGAGGAGAAAAGCCGTTCTGCAGGAGGCTCAGCAAACGCTACTTGCACTGAAGGGGGAAGGTTCTGGAAGGGAGACTGGGCTGCTAGCGGCCATGAAGTGTGAGGATCCTCTGAGTGCGGGCATCTTCTGGGGACTCAGCTCGCCCCACATCCCCCTCCGTCAGGGACCGGTGCTGCTGCCCCCATGCAGCGCACGAGCCCAGCAGTCCCTGCCTTGCCTGGCGCAGTCGGAGGGCAGTGCTCCAGATCTCTCTGCTGCGGGAGAAGGACTCCGGGCCAGGCTCCAGGCCAGGGACAGTAGCAGCTCCCTCACTGACCTCGGGGCGGGGCGGGTTGGGGGCGGGGCTGAGAGCTGGGGGCAGGAGGTGGAGGAAGCTGAGCAGCCCTGGGGTGGAAGCTTCTCTGGACACCTGGAGAGACTCTAGTGAGGCAGCTGACCTAACGCAGGAAAGGAGAGCAGAACTGAGAAGCTGGAGGTCACCGCGGGGACAAAAGCTGGTGTCCTTAAATAGGTCCAGAGGCGTGTGTGATTGTAAATGGGCTTCCTTCCTGCTTGCCATCCCACAGAAGCGGGCCCCTAGCCCTACTGACACTCTCGGCCAGCCTGTGTTCCCCCCAGGCCAGGGGAGGCAGACTCGGAAGCCGCTGCACTGGCCCTGCCCTGCTCGGTGCCTGCTCTCCCAGCTGACCTCAGCAGCCCTGGCTCAGGGAGGGACTCGGTTCTGCCCACAGTAAACATGGAGAGGTGCAGCTGCCTCCTCCGTGGAGGCTCCCCTGGGGCCCGAGTTGCCCCCACCAGCAGGGTGGGCTCCTCAGAGAGCTGGTCTAGAACTCAGGCTGCAGTCCAGCCCTGTGCGTGGCTGCTTCTGTTTCCTGAGCAGCCCTGGTTCCTGTCCTTCTGGCTGCTTGATTCTTGATGACCGCCTCTTCCTTCAGATGGCCCAGGGCAGCCAGAGGTCCCACTGGGAAGGATAGGGAGCATCTGACATGTCCTCAGAATTTCACCCAAGTTCATCAGAAGCCGGGTTTTAGGCAGCAGAGAGCTTTAAACTCTGGCTTCAGACAAACATTTCTCCACCCCGAGGACATGGCCAAGAGGGCCATGGTGCTAGCGCCTGAGTGGTCCCCATCCCCCAGGCCTCCGAAGGACACCAGGGGAGGTGACGCAGTGGGTGCCCATCCCCTTTGGGACTTGTCAGGACTCGCTGCAGCAGGCAGAGCCCGGGCATCTGCAGCCTCACCCCCAGCAGGAAAGCTACCTGGCAGCCTGCATCCTGGGCGGGCAGTGCCTTGTCCTTCTGGGAGGGCGGAGTTTGTGGAGTGGGGTGGACACCAAGGCTGGACTGTCCTGCCTCTGGGGCCTCCCTAGGGCTCTGCACGCACTCAGCTCGGGGTGGGGGCTCTTCTCTAAGGAAGTCCTCCGTCCTTTTTTCTAGCTAATAGGCTGCATAATTGGACGCCAAGGGACCAAAATCAATGAAATTCGACAGATGTCTGGAGCTCAGATCAAAATTGCCAATGCCACAGAAGGGTCATCCGAGCGCCAGATCACCATCACAGGGACCCCAGCCAACATCAGCCTTGCCCAGTACCTCATCAATGCCAGGTGAGTGTTCAGAAGGTCCTGTCTGATGTGTCGCTGGCCAGACAAGACGCTCAGAGGGACTGGCTCGCCATGGCGAGAGCCCAGACCGTGCCCGGTCCTCTCTGGTGGCTTCTCTCTCCTGGCTGGGCATGGGGGTGGGATGTGATGGAGACAGTCTCCACGTAGACATGGGGCCCTACACCCGCTCTGCACGTTCACATCTGACCATTCACCCTGGAAATTCTTGGTGGGGGGTGAGGTGGTTACAGCCTAGGGCATTTCCAGAGAGGCCATGGCTACACGGCTGAGGTCACACACTTGGGCTAACTGGGTTGTGGAGTTTCAGAGAGCACATTACTAGACCATTCTCCTCTCTCAGACCCTGTGGTTGTAAAGACACTGCCACCACCACCCAGACCCTTGCCAAGCAGCAAATCTGAAAACTGTGAGGGTCAGAGGGTACACCAGGGGCAGATGAGGTCCTGGGGCTGAGCATGCACCTCAGCTTCCCTGCCCAGGGACGTGTCAGAGAACATAGTGTGACCACACCTGGGGCCAGACCCTCCTCTTTAACTCAGAAGATCAAGCTGGGCTCTGGGGAGGCCCAGGTGGACGTGGGAGGCAGCCTCCCCTCCACGCCGTGGGCAGTGCGACCCTGGCTCCCCTCCGAGGGCAGCTGCTGAAGAAAGGGTCGTGGTGGCCGATGCTTGTCCAGGTGGTTAGTGTCACACCCCGACATGGTGACAGGGAAGGCAGACCCCACCAACCTGGTCCCCGGTGGGTCCTCTTCCCTCCACCCCACTTTGGTCTCCAACTCATGACCACACATCTAACAACCGAGAGGGAGGCGGGTCCGAAGGCTGTGAGAACACACAGAGCGAGCCATTCGCTTCTGGTCCCGTTTTATGAGAACACTGTGACCTGTCTCCCCGTGCCTTTGTGTCTTCCAGGCTGACATCTGAGGTCACTGGGATGGGTGCGCTCTAATCCTGCCTGTTGGCCTCCAGTCCGTGAACCCTGACCTCCACCCGGCTCGCACACTCTGTACAGACCGCCCACCCACCCTTCATCGCAAATATAGAGGTTTTCTTTACTAACAAGTTATCTATGCCATAGACATACACACGCCAACAAAGCAAATCTATATTATATCTCTGTCAGCTCCAGGCTCTGTCCCTGATACTTCCCTCGGAATTAATTTATGCTCGTGTGTTCATGCATTGGCATGCAGTGTTAATTATTTTAAATGCTTTGGGGGCACTCCCATCTGTGACATTTTAGAAATTCTGTCCGTTAGTGTCCATGTACCTGTTTATGAATTGTTTTGACATTTTGACAGCACTTCCCACAAGCCGTCTCTCCTAGACCGCCTAGAGCTGTGGTTGCTTTGAGCGGGTTTGCTCCCACCCAGCACCCCCTGCTGACTCGCCACCGCCCCCCCCCCCCCGCCAGAGCCTGTGCTTGCTCAGCCCACGTGTCCACATAGGTCTGCACTGGGGGCAGGGGAGAGAGAATGGAGGACCGGGTCCTGGGCCACAGTGCAGGTGAGGTGGGGGGTGCTGGAGTCCTGACTTCACTGAATTGTCACGTGCTGGGGATGCACACGTGGGCCCCCAGGCATCTTCGGGGGGCTGGCCAGGAAGCGCCTCTGCACCACGTTGTAGTTCAATAAATACTGTGCGCTGCCCCTCACTGGCTCTGGTTCCTGTCTGCGCCCCCCCCCAGCCACACTGACTCATGTGCACACACGCACACACACCCTAGGCTGCCCTGCCGGGTGATCATACAGATTAGCAACTCATCCCTTCCCCAGCCCTTTGCAAGGTCATTCTCGTGTTGCTTTTGCAAAACTTCCTAAAATGACAATAATGAAAACACTTCTCAGATTAGTAGAACTCAGTTCTCCCAGCACCACCTCTATGTACTTGGGAGGCCAGGCCACGCACAGTGACCGTGGTCAGCGGAAGTGTGTGCATGCTGCACCCACCTGCAGAACTGTCTGCTCACCTGTGCTTACCTTGAAAGCCTCTGTGCCTCTTCTGGACACTGAAGCTCTGGGTGGGACACGGGCCCATGGTGGATAGCCCCCACACTCTCTCAGGGCAAACAACAAAGGCCTGAGGCCCTTCCCGTGTGCCCTGCAGGCCTTCCTCCGGTCACAGGGGCAGTGGGTGGCCAGTGGATGGGTTGAATGTCTTAGAAAACAAAAGGTGCCACGAAGTAGAAGAAAGCTGTGGTGGGGAGAGCGTCAGAAGTGCAGTGCTACGTGGGCAGGCAAGGTGTGGCCCCTAAGGTAGGCGTTATGGAGGAGAGCAGGTGGAGGGGGAGCTGGAGCTTATGCGTAAGAAGAGGTGGGCAGGAGGCCCGGGAGTGGAGCCCGTAGGGCCGGCTAAGCACGGGAAGCTGCAGGGGCTGACAGAAGGTGGGGCTTGGGCCGGGAGTGCTGTGTTCCGGAAGTATCTTGAAGAAGAACTAGGGATTGCTAACAGATCAGAAGTGGGCTGTGAGAGAGGCAGGCAGGAAGGCTCTTGGTCTGAGCTCTGGAAAGATGACCCTCCACCCGTGAGCAGCAGGCCTACGGCAGCGGCCAAAAATAGACACTCAGCTGGGACTTGCTGGGGGTGACATGAGACAGGGGCTCTGAGGTTTGTGATGGGAGCACAGTCTGAGCCAGAGAGACATGGAAGCAGCAGCCCAGGAGTGATTTGGGGAGCACTGCGGGGGGCTCCATGCAGGACCCCCACCAGGAGTCAGGAAGAGGGTGCCTGGGTGCCCAGCGTGTCACCGACCCCAGGGGTTGCCTGGTACGGTGAGGAACTGGGCCCCAGGGAGTGGCTCCAAACCACAGCAGAGAGGTGTTAGTGGGGTAGACTCACACACACACACACACACACACACACAAGGGCTGTGAGCATTCCTGCACGAGTCTCCGTGTGGATGCCTACTTTCATTTCTCTTGGGTAAATAAACAGCTGGGAGTGGAGCGACTGGACCATGTGATAGGTATATGTTTAACTTTTTAAGACATGTCTACACTGCTTCCCAAAGTGGCTGTACGATTTTACATTCTCTCCACAGTGTGCGGGAGGGCCAGGTACGCCCCGTCCTCAGCAGCATGTGGTGCTGCTCAGTCTTGGTCACTTCAGCCATCCAAGGGGGCCTGGGGCGGCAGCTCGCCGTGCATCCTTTCCTGTGCTCATGGGACATCTATACTTCTTTCTGAAGTATGTGTTCAAAGTTTTTGCCAATCTTTTAATGTGTTTTTTTAAATCATGAGGTTTGAGAGTCTTTATGTATTCTAAGTGTGAGTCCTTTATCAGACACGTGCTCTGCAAGTATCTCCTTCCAGTCTGTGACTTGTCTTTTCGCTCCTCCATTGACATCCTTTGGATAGTACAAGTGTTTAATCTTGACGCGGTCCCAGTTATCGGTTTGTTCTTTTATGGGTTGTGCTCTTAGTGTCCTATCTAAGGAATCTTTGACTAACCCAAGATCACAATGATTTTCTTGTATATTTTCATCTAGAAGTTTTGTAATTTTACGCCCCCACTGAATTGCCTTTGCACCTTTATCAAAAATCAGTTCTCCATGTATGTGCAGGTCTATTTCTGGGCTACGTGTTTTGTTCCATCGATCCATGTGTTTATCTTTATGCCAGTACCACACAGTCCTGATCACTTCAGCCCTGTAACGAGTTTGAAATCAGGTAGTGTCACTCCTCCAACCTTATTCTTCTTTTCAAAGTTGTTTTCACTATTCTAGATCTTTTTGCATTTCCATATAAATTTTAGAATCAGTTGCTTATTTTCCACACAAAAAGTCTGCGGGGGTTTTGATTAGGATGGTGTGAAACTTGTTGATTAATTTGAAGGTCAATGACAGCCCAACAGAATGGAGCCGTCGGACCCGTGAGCCAGGTGCCTCTCTCCAGTTATGTGTGTCTCATTCAGCAGTGTCTTGTAAGTTCTCAAGGTACAGGTTACAGATCTTTTGTCAGACTTATCCTGAAGTGTGCCATGTTTTCTATACTGCTTTAAATGTTTTAATGTTAGTTTACAGTTGTTCATTGCTAGCTTATAAAAAAAAAAAAAGGATTTGTGTGTGTTAATCTTGTATCTTACAACTGGTGCAACTCAGTGTAGTGTGGATTTGTCTGTCTCTCCTTGAAGTTCTATCCATTTTAGCTTTGTTTGTTTTCAAACTCTGTTGTTGGGTGCGTAAGTGTTGAGTATTGTCATGTCCTCATGATCAGTTGGCCGCTTTATTATTATAAAATGGTCTTTATCTCTTGCGGGGTCCTTCTGTCCGCGGTCTACTTTGTCTGATGCTAACACAGCCACTCCAGCTTCCATTAGGTTAGTGTTAGCTAATTTAAGGTACCTTCCTCATCCTGTTAGCTAATCTGAAGGCTATCTTCTCATCCCTTTACTCTTAAGCTGTTTGTGTTTTGTATTTAAAGTTAATTTCTTGTAGCTCTGGATTTTTTAATACAACCTGATCATCTTTCCATTGGGATACTCAGACCACTTATGTTCAACGTGATTATTAATGTATTAGGTTTAAGTCTGTCACATAGCTGCTTGTTTTCTATCAGTCCCCCATATTCTTTGTTCCTTTTTCCTTCATTTTCTGACTTCTTCTGGACTCAACATTTTTATGATTCCCTTGTATCTCCTATGTTGGCTTCTTAGCCATAACCCTTTATTTTGTTATTTTTGAACTCGAGTTTATAAACTTCCCACAGGCCACCTTCAAGTGACCCTCTACAGGGATTTTGAGAGACTTGGGCACATACTGTCTCCTCTCCCATCCTGGCCTTCACAGTATGTCACACGTCTCACGTATACACAGGTCGTGTACTCCACAGTACAGTGTCATTATTTTTGTACAAAAACTCATTCTTATATTTTTAAAAGAGATTATATAAGAAAAAATCTTTTTTATTTCCCCACCCACATAGTTACCATTTGTGGTGCTTTTTGTTTCCGTGTACAGACTCCGATTTCTGCCCAGCACCACTGTCCTGCTCTCAGGACGTCCTTTACCACCGCTCGTCACACAGGCCCGCTCCCGAAGAATTCCTTCAGGCATCCGATGTCTAAACAGATCCGCACTCTATCTTTGTTTCTGAGAGAACTCTTGCTGGGTTCACAGTTGTAGTTTGACAGGTTCATTTGGGTTTGGTCTATTCGACACTTTACAGATGTCCCTCCACTGCCCAGTCACTCGCCTGGTTTCCAACAGGAAACCTGCAGCCAGCCTTCTCTTGGTCTGTGTGTGAGGCAGGGGCTGCGTCAGTGCATTTTCTGTATTGCTGGACAATACATCTCGGTACGCCGTGCCCTGGTGTGGTTTTCTCATGCGGTTTATGCTCAGAGTCCTGCAGGGGTTCACAGTTTTCATCAAATTGGGGGTGTGTTCAGGGCGCCTGGGTGGCTCAGTCGGTTACACGTCTGCCTTCGGCTCAGGTCATGATCTCGGGGTCCTGGGATGGAGCCCCACATTAGGCTCCCTGCTCAGTGGGGAGCCTGCTTCTCCTCCCTCTGCCCCTCCCCCCTGCTTTTGTGTGCGTATGCTCTTTCTCTCTCCCTTAAATAAATAAAATCTTTAAAAAAAAAACCAAATTGGAGGGTGTTTTCGGCCATTATTAGTTCAGCTATATTTTCTGCCCCCACCCCACGCCCTCCTCTCTCTCTCAGGGTCTCCAGTCACACATCTGTGAGATGCCTTGAGTTGTCCCCAGCTCCCTGCTGCTCTTTTTATTGTTAACTCTTTTTTCTCTGAGTATTTCAACAGTTTACAGAGATGCCTTCAAGTTCATTATCTTTTCTACAGGGGCGACTAGACTGCCCTTCCCTCCAGTCCTTCCAGATGGTTCGTCCCTTTCCCTTGAGTACATGCCTTGTACTCATGCACTGACGGACCTGTGAATGCGGCCCAAGGCCTCTCCCTTCAGCTCTGTCCTTTCCTGCTGTCTGTCCTGCCGACTTGAGTTGCCCCGATCTGTCCGGCGGCTGGCGAGGTCTCGTTCTGTCTGTCCACACCGCCGCCCAGGGACTCTCCAGGCCTCCAACGGGGACAGCTGTGGGGCTCACTCCCCTTTGCTGCCCACGTCCAGTGTGTTGAAAATCGTTGTTCCGTGTACTCTGTTTTCTGTATTTGTTTTTTTGTTTGAGGCAGGATAAATCCATTCCTTGTTCTGTTTCTGTAAGAAGCGAAAGTCCCCTGGTTTGTTTTATTTGCCACTGCATGTTATAGACGTTCCACATTCTTTTGATTAATTCTTCATAAACTGTTTTGAATAAATTGATCACAGTGTTTATTTCATGTTTACATTTCTCTGAGGGCTCTGACAAATTGTTTCAAATTCAGGGATTGTTTACTCATTTCTGTTACTTGAAAACTGCCATTTTTTTATCATGCCCCTGAAAGATAAACTTCTTTAAAATGTAGTCACTGTAGCAATGCGGCCCGCTCCTTCTGCCTCCAGTGCGTTCTGTGTGTGTGTCATTCGGGCGAGCCGGAGACTTTTGCTTGATGGATGTCCCTGATGTGGGAGGGTTCG